TTGTGAATGTGTTTCACACTATCGCTTCAACTTAGTTTACATACAAGTGCCTCTGCACAATCGGCAGATCGAAGAAAGAGCCTCTCACACAGAATGTGCGTGGTAGCCTGGTGGCCGATTGGTACTGTCACGGAAGCCGTGTCACGTGCTGCTGTGCAGCTTGGCGGGCGAGTGTGTGCAGCTCTTTGGATGGGCCACACTGGTATGTTGCTTCCGCCATAAGGGCTCCCCAAAACCCAAGCCGCAATGAACCCCTTGTGACCCGAAACAACTGCAAGCCCCAAGCTCGAAGCCCCTCCGATGTTTTGAAGACCGGCCTGTACAAGTCCCCACGTACGCCGCAAGCCAAGACAACAAAACACTCTATAGGGCTGCGGGACCCTAAACCAACAACCCGACATGCTCCCACCTCAACAATTCCTGAGACCCTATTGTAGACCGCTAAACCCGAAATTAAACCTTAAACCTCCTAGCCGCAAATCCCGAGTTCGAAGTCCTTTCAAAAACCTAAGCTTGAAAGAAACCCCAGTGGCTCCAAAACCCCACGACCCGAAACCCCTTGGGATCAAGGACCCTTGGAATTGTCAACGACTGGCTGGTGACCACCGGTCTCCGCAAACAGCCCATCTCCCTGAGCTCGCGACTCTAGGAGAAAACAGAGCCGGGTCCGTGTCGAGGTTATGAGGTTTAGGCTGGGTCTCATGTCCAGGGTTTACTTAATATCTATAAGAAGAAGCAGAGGCGGATGTGTTTTGAGGTTGCAGGGCAGGAAACCTCTGTGAGCGTTGTATAATACAACAGTATACTTCGTTTAATTCCATATGGTCTAATACGAGATAAGATAATATGGTATGTAATATTATGCCATCACAGTCGCAGGGTCCGAGCCGTGAGAGTGTAATGGATGTCGGAATTAGGCCGTGAGGGAGGCAATGGGGAATAGGCTTTGAGGGTTTAGGTTTCCTGCAAGGGATCTATAAGGGATATAAATATGCATCTATCAGTACACATAGATAGATAGGCAGACAGATAGACGGATAGGGCTTCGTGTTTGAGGTTTAGGTCTGGGTTTAGTTAGGGTATAGACGGTATAGACTTGTTCGTTGTTTCTTTTCCGGCTTCAGGCTTTCAAGGTTGATGATTTGGGTCTAGGCCGACTAGCGGAACTTGATAAAGGAGTTTCGCCACTTGCTCACGTAGTCAAGTCCTTCTTCAGGCTTCCTCGGGACTTTAGGACTCCCCACAGCACAAAGTATCCCAAACCGACTCTTCGAGATGGTGGGGGGATAAGGTGGCTGAGATGGGAGTCGGAGTTTTTGGACTTCAGGAAGACTCCTTTGCCAGGATTTCTCCAAAGTTTCAGGGTGTTGGATGGCGAGAGTTCACCGTGCTGAGCTCGTTTGTTTATGGTCGCCGCTAACCACCAGGTTTAAGGAAGCTTCCCGGGTAGCCAGTCAACGTGCTAGAACCGAAAACCTAACGCAACAAAGCACGTTCAATGTTTAATCTGAGAGTCTCGATGCCCCGAAACCCTGAACGACCCTTTTGTCGGGGTAAGTTCGCAAGGACTCAACCGTAAAGCTTAAATCCATAAACCCAGAGCAGATTTGACCATGACAGGCTACTACCTGTGCCAGGGCCTTAGTTGGTCCTCGGAGCTTTTCGAGACTTGGTCTGGCTGCGATAGTCTAAGTGGTGCATCTGACATTATAATGAGTCGAGGCATAGTTCGTCGGAGACTGAGATCGGGACAGCATGTTTGGAGGAATGTCGACACACACCGTCGCAGTACCGTAAACACCTAGATAGTAAGTAACCCCGATGCCGGGGTCCAGAAAACACAATTTGAAACATCATGTAGTGTGAGTACAGGGGTTCGATCGGATTTTTTCTTGTCAACCCAAGATTACACTCCGTAGCATTGACCTCGCCGCGTCTTGCAGCTTGCTGGTTGTCTTGGTCGTAATCTTAAAGCAGGAGAAGTCGCCATAAGGCGCAACTGTCTACTGCAGCCTCAAACCGCCCGCAAGGTGGCAGTGTCCCGGGCGGCTGCACGCAGCCTGCCGAGTGGGATGCAAGAAGGGTGGGAAGAAAGTTTATCTAGGTTTGAGCATTCGGGATGACGGTGGGCGCTGGCACAGAACTCTGAGTTGTCATCAGTCAGGGTGAGAACACCCCTCTGAGGCCAGTCACACTATCTCGGGAGTCGAGTTTGTGCGTGCTAGCGGCAAGCATGAAGCTGAGGGCACTCGCTAGGGTCGTGCAACTTAAGGAACGATCCACTGCAGGCGTTCGTGCAGGTGGGATGTTGAAGTTGACTGTGCCCAGAGCTCTCCTTTGCACCCTCTCGTAGCAACGTATCTCAGAAGTCCGGCCCATAATCGCAGAGCTGCAACAGGCGCATATGCCTATGCACCGATGACATGTACGCGGCGTGCGCTCACAGATCCGCATTGTATCTAAGTTAATGTCCTGTATCTGCTTCTGAGACTCCAGATAGAGAGAGGCGCGTATGGAGAGAGATTTATGCACTCACGAACACAGCCCCCCCACAAACACACACGCATAACATATGTACACATATACACACATATATATATATACACGCATATATATATATTTATATAGACCCGGATAGTGTATTCATGTGCGTGTACGTATATGTAGAATATGTGTATATATATATACACCCAAACATCCATCCATCTATCCATCCATCCAGCCAGCCAGCCATCTACATCCGTCTGTCCAATCCCATGCATGCCTGCATTGAGGCGTCCGTACATACAGATGTGCATACATGCACTTTAAACATACACGCACATACATGCATGCATGCAGGCAGGCATGCATACGTACCGCATGTATACATCGCGTCCGTACATACATGCAGATGTACTTGCATAGATAATTACATGCATGCATACGTACACACATAAACACATGTGCATGTACATACGTACGTACGTACAATTATATAATATACATGCATATACATATACATGCAGGTGCACGTGCATGCATACGTACATCTGTACTGGTATACTCACGTACGTACGCAGACGTATACATTCGCACCTATAGACACATGCATGCAATACACACCTACGCGAGGAACATGTCCATTCATGCAGAAGTGTGGGTGCGCTGCTGCATGCCTGCATTGTGCATCCCCCGTTCCTCGCCAGACTAGAAATTGCGCACATGCAGCACGGATATATAATGAAATAATGTATCAAGTCATCCGCGGATGAACGCTTAAATTGGCAGGTCTGGGCGAAGGCACATATTGCAGACATGCAGCCGCTTTTACTAAACGATTTCTGCCGAAGTACTGACACATAATGACTCCTAATGACCTGGCTTTGCATGCACATGCAATTACAAGCATGTGTATCCATGGACATTCATGAGCTACATAAGCACATGACTGCGTACCTGCATGTCTCTGTGCATGGCTACATATACATGTATGTATGCATAAGCGTGTATGTAAATGCGCATGCATGCATATGCATGCATGCATACATCCATACATGCATCCATCATTCCTGCCTTCCACACGACCTTTCCACTGGTTTACGCACACATATCTCTCTATCTTTCTATCTACCTACCTAGTTAGCTAGCTATCTATCTATCTGTATATAGGTGCACACACATAAACAGAGATTTGTGAATACGCAGCTATACATCCGAACAGGTGGTGATTCGGTCTTAATTCCTTGGTGTATATTTATATGTTTGTGCGTGTGTACATGTAAATGTATGTATGTGTACATTTGTTCAATCCTTGCAGTGCCTGTTTTAAGCTTGAGCCCGAAAACAGGCATGGTCCGGACGATCGGCCTCTGGATATGTGCGTCCATGGCTGAGCATAGGAACCTGATGAAGATATCCCTGCTGATTTCATGGGGTCTCAACATGTCTCAACATGGATTAGGTCGACTGTTTTGTTTTGGTGATACAAAATCCGTTGGATCCCAAATCAAGTTCCGAGAATCCTTGTTCACTGATCGTTGAAGGATGCGTTTGATCGCTTGGTAGTTTGCCGAATTCGGAGTAGTAGGTGGTTCGCATTGCCTTGGGCTACCACATGATACCACACAGCATGCAGGCAGGCAGCCAAGCAGCCACGCAGACAGACAGACAGACACACACACACACACCCACACACACTCGCACACACACACACAGATATATATATATACATACACACCCACACACACGCACACACACACACACCACATCCACCCACACACACACACACACCGGCGCGCACGCGCAATCACTCTCCTCTCTTCTTTTCCTTTCTCTCTCTCTCTCTCTCTCTCACACACACACGCATCCACGCAGGGGCGCGTTCATATTCACGAGGCTAGCAACAAAGCCAAATCAGCACTACCACAGAGGACCGCACCGCCTTCCCCGGCTAATGCACGTTGGAAAGCAGACCATCCATGAAGAAGCCGCTTCTCGGTTTCATGTAGCTGTACAGTCTAATATCATGTGCCCAGCAGGCTGCACTAAGGCCTAAGAGACGGTAGTACTCGCAGTTGGTTCTTCCGCCTTCCATCAGGGACTGCAGACGAAGAGGCAGACGAGCTGCGTCGGCGCCTTGGTTTTGCTTTTGGATCCCTGTTCGGTCCAAGCTATCAGCACTGCTGGCAGGGGTTCTAAGTCTAAGTGCCTGAAGTTCCTACCCAAGTGCAGGCACATGTCACCACGCAGCCGCAATAATTTCAAGGGGTGAAGGGCCAGGGCAGCTGCAGCATTTCTGTTCTCCATCCCCGGGCAGGAACAGAGGCTCATGTCAGCCATGCCTCTAATATAGCTAATCAGAGTGTATTATTGTATAGTCTGACACCGAAACTCCAAATCAGTGTTCCAAAACAGCACGGTACGGCAGTTCCATAACGTTTCGCATCGTAACCTCCACAGCCACGAAGAATCACCAAAATAAAGCACAAGCCTTTTTCATGCCGTGGTGATGTCTGCGAATGTCTGCGACCTGCCCCACCATTGAGCTGCGCACGATCGCGGGAGATGTCATAGCCCGCGCGGAGCTCGACCCAGATGCCGTGCCTAAGCGACAAAGTCAGCTGAGGGTTCTGGACAACTGCAGACCCGTTTTACATATTGTACCTACATGCATACATACTTACTAACATCCCTTGTGTTATAACTGACTTGCTCAGTGGCTCCTTGCTACAGGTCCACACCTGTCACACACGCACACATGTATCGAATAAATAAATAAATATATATATATATACATATATATATACATACATACATACACAAACATATACCTATACATATACACGCACATACTTGATTATGTATCGTCGGTTGCTTGTTTGTTTGCTGGTTTGTTTGTTTGTTTGTTTGTTTGTTGGTTTGTCTGCCTGATTGCTCGTTTAGCCGTGGACGAGTATGTGCAACTGTTCAACTACACAAGCTGCGAAACCTGTAACACCTCACACCCTCAAGCTTGGGTTAGAAGGACCCACTCCACGAATGGTGATGTAAAAAGACCCCAACACAGCTGCCATTATCCCTTCCGGTCACTGTCAGTGTGGGTGCGGGGTGCGAGGGGTGGGTGGTGGGGGGTGGGCCTGGGGGCTAACCCAACCCCTCGCCTACGATCAACTTGAGACCCTTCAGCCAACATCTAAGTCTCTAAGTGTACTCGGAAGAAGGGCCCGAAGAAAAAGTTAGAGTTGTAGCCGAGGAGATGGAAACTGTGCAGGAATGGCCTAATGAGGAGAAGTGCCACAAGTCGGACGGCGACCGTCATGATGGTTGTAGACTTGTATTTTCCTAAACAGCCCTAGGCCCTACCGAGTAGACTCCACAGTCAAAGAGCCCTGTATCCCAATTGAAGCCATCCTGCTGCAGAGCCCTCCAAGCTTGTGATAGGCGGCTGCCATCCAAGGTAGCCGTGGTTGCTTTGAAGAAGGCGCTAGCTGCAGGTCGAGACGAAGATGACGAAATGCTCCACAACTTCCTGTATGACGGAGCACTGATTTCGGAGAAGCCTGTAAGCATGCATATTTGTTTTTGGTTTTATAACACGCTAGGACAAGGATGCGTTGTCCAAGGCTTTTCGGGCTTGGGCTTTAGCGCGGAGGGGAAGCCCCAAAGCTGACATCAGAATGCAGGCGACTCGGTATTGCTACTATCTACCTCGCGTCTGCTGTAGCTACTGTAATCACAATATACCACAACAAGTTATAACATATTTGTTGGAAGCCTGTAGAGCATGCAATAGTGAGGGAGAGGGCAGATTCGTTGGACACGAACTCACAATTCAGCCAGACAGCCCCTCAGGCCTGAAGACGCAAAAGCACCGTTTACACAATGTAAAGGCTAAAGTTGCGCTTGAGACTGTCAACATCATGGGGCAGCATCCCAACAGCAAAATATTCGATGTGTTCGGAGCAAGCAAGTCTTGCTTGGGATTACAGGTGTTCAGCATGGCTAGCTGCAGATCCTCTCCAGCTTTTCATGAATTACTCTTCAGCGTGGGCTGGCCATGCTAAGTTGAATATGCGAAGCCTGAGAATCCTCGCAATTCCGGTTGTTGCTTGCGGTCCTGGGATTTTCAGTCCCCGTGGAGAGTCGAGGAGTGTGCTGGTCAGGGATCTCGGCTTTCCGACAACCGGCATGGCCGAAATCTGTGTGGTGCCTTGGCCAACGTAGCCCCCGAGCTTGTATCTCCCTATGCGGGTTGCGCATAACATATGGTCTCAAATATACCATATTACTATTATGACAGACGATGATCTATAGTAGTCCCGAAACCTTAGCTGCTGTCCACGAAAATTGAGAAGAGAGACGGAGAGAGACTGGACTCTGGCTGCTGAAGAAGTCGTTTTGTCTCTAGCGAAGCCAAGGTTGTTGACAGCCGCCCCTCTTTCCAGTGGAAACATTGCACCTCTGCGGAGTTGAAAGGAGTTGAATGTCCAGAAGCCTTGATTTCAGAAGATGGTTCGTGCAGCAGCTTCCTCTTTGCTAACTTGTTTTCCGACAGCGAGACGCTCCAAACTGCATTGAACCAGGCAGCTACCTAGGCCACGCTAGGCCATCAGCAGTTTGTCGGAGCGGTACATACAGTGTACATAGTGATATGACAGACATTTTTATATACATAATGTATACACACATAAGTATATATATATATATATAGAAATATACACACCACATATGCCCAAGACCCGCCCTGAAGCCCAGACCTGACCCCAGAGAGGCCTCTTTGTGCTGGAGCCCTCTTTCGTGCGACTCCTGCGCCCCCGCGATCTTGTCGAAGATGAAGCTCTTCACCGATACAAACAAAGGGTGTACGCTAGTATGTGAATATGCCATGGGCTTTTCGAAAGTACAAGACCTCTTTGCATCAAGGTCCCACATTCGCTGAGTGGTTGCACCATACCCTTATCATAGCACTAAGGACATGGACATGGATGTAACTCGAGCCTGGCACAATTTAGTTGACAATGCAAGAATGCACGAATGCTCCTGTAAATGCACTTGTTCACAAGTAATCCGTCCGTTTGTTTTGTTGCATTCTCACACACGTGTATCCGTATGTGTATATTTATACATATACACACTGTATTGTATTTCAGCTCTCTCTCTCTCTCTCTCTGTACACATATATTACACACACACATATACATACATATATATATATGCAAACCTACATATACACATAGATGCACCATACAACATCCTCCAGCTCTGTCATCAAGACGATCCTCCGATCGACCGAACGCGTAATGTGTGGCCTAAATTGGGAAGAGGCTTCATCATGAGCTTTGCTCGGTTGACGTGCTTTCCGGTCGAAGACCACGCTGCGAAGCCAGTAAGGCACTCTTGGCCAGGGCACGATCAGCGAAGACGGCGCCTTTCCTCCAGTCGCTCCTGAACCCGACCCTGCTCAGACTACATGCCTACACTCCACTGTAAAGCCCTTCATGAGTGTGTTGTCCCGGGTTATTTGGCAGAGCAGCGGACCGAGTTGCTTTCTTCTGACAGTGATCAATGGCATGCTGCAGTATGAAGAGTCCACGAGAGTCCTCGCCTGGTCTTTGAAGCTATGAAGGTGGAACCCCACCTGTCCAGGCTTCACTGCACAGGAGTGATCGCAAGCCCTAAGTCCCCCAAAGGTCGTAGCCTCCGAGGTGCAATCTATCACAGAGGCGGCACGGCCGGCGCCACGAACGGGGTTCGGGCAGGAGCTCCTCGACGCAGTCGGCGGGATTCCGGCTTCTTACTTATGATTAAACGATCTCTTGAAATTGTTCGAGGCTCCTCTGCAAGGTGCTTCAGCACTTCAATCCCGTTCTTTTGCACGCAGGATGGCACGACATTTGCCATACTCAGTTTATTTCGGTAGGGTCCTGCACAACCGATGCGGATTGGAGCGTTGATTCAGTTCTTGCAAGAGGGCTCAAGGTAGGGAATTCGCAGAAACTGGTAGCACAGTCAGGATTAAGCGCGACTGTTTACTGTTGTTTCAACTTTGCCTGGGCCCCTTTGAGACACACATCTACCTGGACCTAAACTAAGAGATCTCTCATGAGATCCAGATGTCTTTGCGCAACTGGCTGCAATATCTGCATCTTAAACTTCAGATTCCCCCCAACCCTAAACTCTAAATCCTGTTCCATCAACTCCCCATGAGCACCTGGAGAAAGAGATGTTTTTACTTCATATAAGAAGGGCCCCTAGTGAGCACCTCAGAAGACGACTCTCTCATTGCGGACCGCTTTAGACAAAGTTGTAATCATCTTTTTGAAGCTCTTTAGATTTCAATGCTTCTAAAAGAATTGTCGGAACAACACGATTAGAAACCACAGTCCAAGCCCCTAACCCCAACCCCAAAAACCCTAACCACTGCAAACCAAAATCCAAGGCCCAAAGTCGTTGGAGTCTGCAGCCTGAGACCTTGAGCCCCAAAACTCGAAACCCTCAAAGTTCCAAGCCCCCAAAACTGTAAGCCCCACAACCCCTGAAAGCCCGCGCCCCAAAATCCGAAACCCCAAAATATGAAGCCCAAAGCTTCTCGAGGCTCCCCTGCCGCGCGGTGCCCGGTGTCATCTCACCTTCAAGCGACCTGGCTGCCGAAAGGTTTCTCCGATCGTAAGGGCTTCGAGCTAAAGCTGAAGCACTTCAAACACCTGAAGGGTTTATGGTATAAGGAGCGTAAGCCCTATATTCGCCTATACTTAAGGTTCAGGGCTTGGGGCCTGAAGTTGGTTAAACCTGAACTGAAGCTCTTGTTTGTCCGGGGCTTTCTTTTCAGACCTTGCGGGTCTCAGAGTTTGGGCTCCGTTGGGTCTGGTTGGACTTTTTTTATGAAGTATACAGGGTTTAACTAGGGTTTTGGGATTACAAGACGGCTTGCCATACCGGGCCGATGGCTTTGCGGTTTGGGGCCTCGCCGTGGTCTACCCCTAAACCCTAAATGGCAAGCATGGGCTCGTGAGAACGGGATCTTTGGAAGAGCTGGACCGACAAGTGCTGCAACTTCGAGGAGAGTTTAGGGTTCGTGGTTTAGGATTTAGGGTCTACAGCTTAGTGTTTATTTAGGGTTAAAGATCCTATAAAGCCTTAACTGGAACCGCGAGGATGAAAAAGCTTGACGGACAGGAGTGTGGGTTCGCACGCGTGCTTCGGCGTGGGCACCAAGATGGTCCAACTTTCTGAAAACAAATACTGCTTCCTCTACGGACAGGACTGCCAAGCAAGTTTGAAAGGGTATTTGGGGTTGTTAACGTTCAGGGCTTGGGGCTTCATGACTTGACTTGAGACCTCTAGGCTATATATGCTGCGCGACTTCATAGATCCCTTCAGAGCCGTTTCACTGTCGGGCTGTAAACAAACAAATACATCTGCCTTGCGAAAATCCCTGCAGCAGCGGAGGAGGATGCAACGAAAAGGAACCTTCACCAATGGAGTGTGTTTCAAGCTGTAGGTCTCGGTATGGGAGTTCACGGTTCGGGGTGTCTGGAAGCCCTGAGCTGTGAGCCTGAAGACTCAACACTGCCCCAGTTCACCACAACACCTCATATTGCCCATGGGCAGGATGAGGAAAGTTGGGCTGTAGCATTCGGCCACTTGGCGCGGGACAGTGGTGGTTGTGAACGTATTGTCCGTAATAGAATTGTCGTAGAGTGGCCCTGTATACAACCGGGTGGGCTCGGGTTGACTTTAACTAGCTGTAGCATTTTGCGGTTCGGACATTTACCAAAGTCCAGTTCCGGGTAGGAGGGCTTATTGTAGGGCCGGGTTGAAGGACACAAACGACTTGAAGCAATTCCCATATTGCGACGGCGCGGTAGCTCCAATCCCTAGAAACAGGGCCCAGCATTACTCTTCTGTTTCTCCTCATTAACAGCCCCGTGCCCTGAACTAGCCTCTCCGGATGTACACCCTCACAGGCAGATCAGCAGCACTGCACTGTGTGGCAATGCCCGTCCGAGCTTTCAGGCTTTGACAAGCGGTTACAGGCCTATCACGCGAAGCAGAAGTACGAGATCCAGACACGGACAACAGGCAGGAAGGTTTGGCATTATCAATTGTATGGCCACAGCATGGGTGTTATTGCTGTTGTGCGGGATAGCTCGGAGCAGCAGGTCTCCCACTTGCTGCCCATGATGGAAGGGCTCAAATTGCGAACGGCGGCCGCGACTGTCTCCTGGCAACGAGTAACTGATCCCTTTTGCAGGTGGTCCAGCTATGAGGCAATTACGACCCTGGTGGCTTAATAGGGGCAGCTTGTTTGCCACTTCTCCGGCTGTTCCTCCTGCACCTTCTCTGTTCTGCTGCGTCATCACGACGGTTTCTACGACGAAGACCAATAGGAGAAGCCACGACGAGCATTTCCCTAGCAACTATGAATTCGACGGTGGACGTGTAACACGAGCGGGGGATCCTACACTACCAAATGTTGCCCCATCCACCCGCAGGCACCGCAGACACCCATATCTTCCTGGTGTGGTTTCCCTTGGGCAGATGTTCTGGACCCTGCTCAGTTCTGAACGTTTTTATAGCCGGGAACTTCTTGCGCAGCATGCTTGCCTCTTTGGTTTCGGGGGGCCTCAGGCATTCTGCCGGTCAGCTTCCTGCGTCTTGGATAGCACTGGTTTCGAACCCAGCCAACCCAAGCAATGTGTCTATAAAAGTCTGAAGTTGAACACTGGCCTGGGACTTTAAAAGGAAGAGCCCCGTCTCTCCTGTCAAGACTTTGATCCAATGTCGAAAAAACGTGCAGCCTGTGTCTCAATACCTAAACCCGATAGAGAACCTAGCCTTAGGCTTGGCGATGATGGCAGCTTATCCTTCTGGGTCCCAGGCTTGGCCTTTGCTGCATGCTTGGACAGACGGGAGGGCTGCAGTTTTGGGTGTTGGGGCTTAGGGTTTGCCGCTGCTGCGGCCCTACGCAGCCATGATTTCATATCTCTCGGAATGCTACTCTTCTTGTTGTCGGTCTGTCTTGCTTGTTTGTCTGTCTGTCTCCTTCATGGGGCTCTCCATGTCTGCGTCTCTGTGTGCGGGCCTACAAACGGCACGTTCTCCCCCTCTTCTCGCTCTCTATCTCTCTGTCTGCCTGTCACTCTCTCTCTCTCTCTCTCTCTCTCTCTTTCTCTTTGTGACTCTATGTCTATGTGTACACACACATATATATATATATGTATGTGTATATATATATATGTATGTTATGCCATGATGAAAGCTGAAACCTGTTGCTTGATGCAGCACCACTGTACAGCATGCAGGGATTGAAAACACATCCATGTCTTTGTCGGTTCTTTTTTGTATGTCGTCCGACTGCCGCAGGGCTTTGACAAAGTTGAAACTCGTTCAAGACCCGAAACCTCAACAACCTTGAACACGAAAACCCCTCTAACTTACATAACTCCCAGAGAAAGCCAAAGAACCCTAACCCCAGACCCGAAATTACGGACAGGCACATGTTTTTCCCCGCACTTGGAAGGCTAGGTTGGGCCAATTCCTTTGAACAGCCCCTGGATTGGTGTAGGGGTTTGCATTGTTGAAAGGGTGCAAGGGTTTTAAGTCAAGGGCTGGAGGGCTGAGGAAGACAAAAAATCGAAAAGGAAGATTAGGATTCACGGGCTCAGCTCTGGGCATTTATTGTTTCAGGATTTTAAATTTTAGAGGGCTAGTATATTTTGGACCACGAATTTCCCTCTTCTGGTTGCTACCTCAATACTACATGTTGAGAAGGGGGTTATAGCTCCTGAACATCTAGCCACTGTGCGCAGTATGAAGCAACCACACCGCCGAGGTGCACAAGTATTTCTGTGAGCTTAGGCTTTCAAGGGGCTTAGGCACGGAGTCGAACTCGTAAGCGTGCAGTTTTGTTACAGATTCCATACATCATGAGGTGCAAGATTGAAGGTAGTGATCCCCGTATGCACAAGCCTTGCCGGCCGATGTTGTAGATGCGTCGAGGCAGAAACCCCAAGCCGTCGAGACCCCTGCAAAAGCTAGCTGTGCAGCTTCTGAGTCGGAGGTGGCGAGGACGAAGCGCTGGTGGTTCCATTCAACGTGCCGCAGGAGGGTATCCCCCCTCAACCCAGTGAAGCCTGAATACTGAAACCCCTTTTGAGAAGCTAGGGCTTTGGCCTTGTTACCGTCGCCCGGTTGGCCTTGCGCGCTGGCGGGCTTGTGCGTATACAGTCCTGAGCTACTTGCACACCTGTACCTCTTTGTACCTCTCTCTGTCGTTCTCTTTCGCACACTCTCTCTCTCTATCTCCTCTCTCGCAGCTCTTTATCCCTCTTGTTGCTCCCTCTCTCGCTCTCTCTCCCTATTTGTTTGTTCGTCCTTTTCTTCCTAAGGGTCTTCATCTCTCTTGGAAACATAAACCTGCGCACATCAAACCACATGCCAGTTTGCCGGAGGACCGCGTGAAGGTCTGCTACTTCGGTATAAACCCTAACCCTCATACATACATACATACATACATACATACATACATACGTACGTACATACGTACATACGTACATACATACATGCGTGCATACATGCGTACATACATACGTACATACATACATACATACATACATACATATAAACATGTGTATATAAATATATACACATACACGTACAGATGCGCTAGCCGATATGAGAAGGGCGCCGCAATTGTAGGCTGCATTATAGCGTGGAGGTGTGATGTTGCTTGAAAGATGCCGAGTTGTTTCACTCAGCTCGCCGCGATGATGATTATGATGTTTGAACGTTGGGGGTTTAGGTTGATACGGATTCGAAGCCTGCCAGTTTACTCGAACGACCGACTCGCATTGCAGGACAAGCGGGTCTATGTTGTGGCTTCAACCGTCTACGGCAGCGGAATGAGGCTTGGCACAACCCGCAGCTAGTTACGCACGCTTTTGCGCAAGCTGCTGTAGAGGGCGCGAAGGTAAGGTGCGAGAAGCGTTAGACCGTTAGGCACAACTTACTGCCAATGGTTCTGAAGCTCCATATCCGGGCGGAGAGTGATCCCTCTTGTCCGGAACGGCTCGAAAGTCAGGTCAGAGGAAGATCTCCCCGAACCTCCCAAAAAAGGGGATTTGTTCAAGCACAACGAGCTGAGGATAGAGATCTCCCAGGCGCCCATCACACAAGAGGCTTTCATTTCGAAAAGCCTGCGCCCAGATCAAGCCGAACCCGAGCCGCGGCTGCTCTAGTCAAAGTACTCTGAGGTTGTCGGGTCGCTTGTAGTTTAACACCGAATTGTAAGGTTTAGGGTTGGTGCGTTGGTTCAGGAAGCACAGTGTTCTCGTGAGGTTCAGTGATGCTGAGCAGCAGCGATTAGCATCCATGGTCAGGTGATCGCAATCCATTAATCATGCCCATGAGGAATCCCCTTTGTAAAGTCCGTCACAAGAAGGCGGTCGGGCAGGTAGGTAGGTAGGTAGGCAGGTAGGTAGGCAGGCAAGGAGGTAGGTAGGTAGGTAAGTACGTGGGTCGGTTGGTAGGCAGGCAGGTAGGTCGGTAAGTGGTAGGTAGGTAGGAAGGCAGGGTGGTAGGTAGGTAGGCAGGAAGGTAGGCAGGTAGGTAGGTAGGAATGAAGGTAGATAGGTATAGGCATAGGTAGGTAGATAGATAGACAGATATGTAATGTATTCGTAAATACATATATGTAGTTTTTAGAGAGAGAGAGAGAGAGAGAGAGGGGGAGAGAGAGGGAGATAACAAAAGAAAACACTTGACACACCCTGTTGTGTTGTGCTTCTCTGCGGAAAACATGAGAATCAACAGCCCAGGGGACGGGCAAGAGAAAGACCAAGGACATTGGCCACCAGCCGCCCGAAGCTGGAAAGGCGAAGAGCAAAGGGAAGAGTAAGGACGGCTACGTGCTGCAGGAAGCAGGAGAAGCTTGAAGGTGAGTTGTGAAGACGCAGAGGCTACCCAGAGGCTAGGCAGCTAGACAGAGCCACAAGTCCAGGGAATGTATGAGCAGGGTTCGTGGTTCAAACATGTAGAGGCCTACACATACAGTAATAGCCTTTAGTAAGGCTACTATTATTGAGGGCCTTTGATGTCTATGTTAAAAGCTTGTTTCCAACTTTTACTGAGTGGGGTCGAAAGGGCCGAGGGAAGTGCGCCCATGGGTTAAACTGATCCTCTGAACATCCTAGGCCCTAAACCCTGCCCGAGTGTGAGCGCCGAAACCATCCTAAAGCCCTTAACCCTGACAGAGTGGTTGTGTCTAGCTGCTTCTAGCTCTACAAAATACGCGTATGCATATATATATATATTACACATATACATATGTATATATATATAGATAGATTTGTTTATTTGATTGTTATACAGAGTAGTGTTCAAGGATGGCTCAGGTAGATCAGAAGCAGTAGTCGCAATCCAACCGCCAAGAGCCCTAAGAAGCTGGAAAGGCCAAGGGCAAAAGCCTACAGCTGCGATAGTGCAGCAGGCTTTTGGTCTGGAAGTCGTAGCAGTACTAGTAGTATTACTAATTTAGCAGCAGTAGCAGTAGCAGTAGCAGTAGTAGTCGTAGACGTAGTCGACGTCGTCGTCGTCGTCGTCGTCGTCGTAGTCGTAGTCGTAGTAGTAGCAGTAGGAGTAGTAGTAGTAGTAGTAGTAGTAGTAGTGGTGGTGTTGTGGCAGTGGTGGTAGTAGTAGTCGTCGTAGTAGTAGTAGTAGTAGTAGTAGTAGTAGCGGTAGCAGGAGTTGTATAGTAGTCGTCTGCCAAAACCCAAAGACCCTAAACAGCAGACCCCCTAGCACGATCCATCATGAGTAGTTAGTCCGCAGAACATGCCTGCTTGCTGTAGCCCAAAGTCAGGCGACTGGGACAGGCTGCTTCTCGTGATTTTGCTCACAGCTAGTGATGCAGCACTCAGCGGAATGGCAATATGTGTTTCGGATTAGAAGAAGGCGTCCCAAGCAGCGCAATGGCCCCTTGCTTTTACTTTACGGCTTTTCCGGCCGCGCAGAGTCTTCAGAAAGCTTGGAGACGAATCGAACATGATGGTAGGCTGCTCTTGAGTGCAGCGGGCTGCTCAGCCGAAAATCGGAACTCCATGCATGATTGCCAATGGATGAGGGGAGGGAGAAACAGAGACAGAAACCTCAGGAGGACTCTCGCAGCGTGGGACAGGAAGAGTCACCTGAATCTGACCGAACCCACTGGGCATCTCCGCGCACGGCTCCTTCCCTCAAGCA